TCCGGTCACAAAAACAACGTCCCGCTATGGCACGCACCCTCCACGTGCACCTCACCTCCTCTAGGCGTGACAATTGGCGCGCCGGCCATCACGCGCGTTCCCCGTGCTTGCGGGAAGCGCTCATTGGAGTCGCGCTCCGTTTAAAGTTCGAATTCTTGCGTCGAATCCGAACATCCCGCCCGCCTCGTTCCGTGGAGCGGACGAACGAGATTGACCATGGCGGTACCGGTAGGGCAGTTGGGCTGTTGCGAGTCTTCTGACGACTCGGCAGGGAGGAGAACGAGTTTCACGAGGGGTCGCGTTATCTCGGACGTGGCCGTTTTTACAGTTACCACTCTTACGCGGTCACCGTCGCCATGCTGCAGAGCAGTAATCCTAGCTAATGGCCATCGCGTGGGCGGTGTCACCTCGTTGCGTACGAGGCACAGTTGCCCCACCTTCGGCGCTGAGCTTTCCTTCCACCACTTGGGGCGTGCTGCTAGGCTATGAAGGTACTCCTGAGACCACCGGTTCCAAAAATGCTCCCGCATTTGTTGTACCTGCTGCCAACGGGAGAGGCGATTGACAGGCACGTCAACGAGAGTAGGCTCTGGTACCGATAAGAGGGCTGCTCCCACCAAGAAGTGGCCCGGGGTTAATGCAGTTAGGTCCTCAGGATCGTCGGTCAAGGGTTGCAGTGGCCTTGAATTTAGACAGGCCTCGGTTTGCGAGAGGAAGGTGGACATTTCCTCGTATGTTAACTTGGAGTCTCCGATCACTCGGCGCAGGTGGTGCTTAAGAGACTTCACCGCCGCCTCCCAGAGGCCGCCGAAGTGAGGTGCGGAAGGTGGGTTGAACCTCCACCGCACTCGCTCCTCTGCCAAGGCCGTACATATGCGCTGCGCCTCACGTCCGCTGGCCGCGAAGAGCTTTCGAAGTTCTGCCTCAGCGCTCACAAAGTTAGTACCGCAATCACTGTACATTACCTCGCATAAGCCTCGACGAGAGACGAATCGTCGAAAGGCCGCTAGGAAGGCCTCTGCAGTATAATCGGTGACGACTTCCAAGTGTACCGCCTTGGTGCTGAAGCAGACGAAGACTGCGATGAAGGCCTTGATGGATTTCTGGCCTCGCCCCTTGGAACAGCGCAGCAGGATCGGCCCGGCATAATCTACCCCTGTGTGCTGGAATGGCCGTGAGGGGGTTACTCGCGGTCCCGGGAGGTTGCTCATGAGTGGTTGGGGCGAGGCCGCCCGCCATCGCAGGCACGGGAGGCAACGGTGGATATGTCCCTTGACCACCGCTCTACCGCAGGGGATCCAATAGCGCTGCCGAAGGAGACCCAAAGTCTGCTGCACACCTCCGTGGAGAGTGCGGCGATGACAGGACTGAATAATCAGATTAGTAAAATGTGACCGTTTAGGCAAAATAATAGGATGCTTTTCATCGAAGGGTAGGAGGGAGTGTTTCATCCGGCCTCCCACCCGTAAGATTCCCTGCTCGTCCACAAAGGGATTAAGTTTGGCAAGGGAGTTGCTCTTGCTGAGAGTCCGGCCCTTTTGTACTTGGTTGATTTCTTGGGACAGCCTTCCTCTCTGGACGACCCGGATCCAGCCGTCCAGGCTCTGATCCAACTCTTTGCACGCCAAGGTTAGAGGCTCGCGGGGTTGCCCAGGGTCACGTCGCTGCCCCATTAACCATCGTCGACACCAGGCTGTGATCCGAAGAAGCCGTTGGAGAGACGAGTAGCGAACGAAAATTTCGGGCTCCTCGTCCTGACCTTGAACTAGGTGCGTTCTCGTGCGCTGCTCGGGGAGTTCCGTCTCTCTTTGCTCAGTTTCAGAGCGCCAAGGCTCATTCTCGATAGAGAGCCAACCTGGTCCGTGCCACCACAAGGGATGGGACGCGAGCTCGCCCGGTGAGACTCCGCGCGAGGCGCAATCGGCGGGGTTATCTTGGCTGGTCACATGATGCCAGTGAGCGTCGACAAGCGTGGTCTGGATTTCTGAGACTCTATTGGCGACGTATGTCGTCCATCGCGAAGGGTGTCCTCGAATCCAGCCCAAGGTAACCGTCGAATCGGACCACAAGTGAGTCGGCCTTTGGGTAAGGTCGAGAGTTGCCTGAACGTGATGTATCACTCGTACCAATAAGGTAGCGGCACTCAGCTCCAATCGAGGTAAAGATATTTGTTTTAAGGGGGCGACCTTCGTCTTAGCCGTCACGAGAGTTGTCGTCCATTCGGGGTCGTCAGGGTTTCCTTTCGTCCGCAGGTACACCACGGCGGCGTACGCGCTCTCAGAAGCATCGGCGAATCCATGCAACTCCACCACGGGGGTTATGGTTGACCAGTGACACCAGCGAGGGACTCGGACCTTAGTGAGCTGTGGCCAGTCGGTGAGGAAGGCTCTCCAGTATTCGCCATCCTCAGGGGGCAGCGGCGTGTCCCACTCTAACCCCTTCAGCCACGTGGCCTGAATAAATATCTTTGCGCGAACTGTGACTGGGGCTAACCATCCGAGCAGATCAAATAGTTGCGCGGCTTGAGAAAGGGCCGATCTTTTCGTTATTGGTTTTGCCTCGATAGACGGAATCGTGAAGGTGAAGGTGTCGGACTGAGGGTGCCAATGAAGACCCAGTGTCGAATGACTCTCGTGCGGCAGCCAAGTCCGACCATTCGGTTGCGCCAGATTCTCCTCGGGCATGTCTTGGAGAATGCTCGAGTCATTTGATGCCCACTTTTTCAGAGGGAATCCGCCCGCCATGCAGAGTTCCATGAGTTGGCGTTGTAGATCTCGAGCTTGAACTAGGGTGTCTGCTCCCGAAAGGACGTCGTCCATGTAGACGTCTCGTTTGAGAATTGTGGATCCGATAGGGAATCGCGGTCGCTCATCCTCCGCGAGTTGGTGTAGCGTCCGAATGGCGAGGAACGGAGCACAGGCTAACCCATACGTTACAGTATTCAACTGATATTCAGTGACGGGGTCACACCTATTCGTTCTCCATACTATTCTTTGTAGATCGCGATCAGAGGGATGTACTAGAATCTGGCGGTACATCTTTTCAATATCGGCCGCGAATACGTACCGATGTCTCCTCCATCGAAGCAAGAGGTCCGCTAACGAGGGGAGTAAATTCGAACTCAGCAAGAATTGTTGGTTTAAGGACCTGCCGTCGGCGATCGTAAGAGAGCCGTTGAAAACGACTCGCAATTTAGTCGTAGTGCTGGCTTCTCGGAGTACTCCGTGATGAGGCAGGTAGCACGCTCGCTTCTCATGCTCTCCTGTGGGGCCGACGCGAGTCATGTGTCCCAAGGTCTCGTATTCTTGCAGGAAGCTTTTATACATAACTTGTAGTTGGGTATCTCTTTCGAACCTCCGTTCCATGTGGAGGAGCATCCGAATGGAGGCGGCTCTCGTTCCCGAGAGGTCTGGGAGCGAGGGGACCACAGGTAGGCGTACCACATAGCGGCCCTCGCGAGTTCGAGAATGCGTGTTCACGAAGAAGTTTTCGCAGTCTTGCTCTTCGGGGGTTAGAACTCGGCCAGACGATGGGGCCTCTTCTTGTTCCCAGAATTTTCGGACTAGAGCCGATAAGGGCTCACTTACTGAACACTGATGCAGCAAGGTCGCGGCGTGGGAAGCGCTCGTGCCAACGGTACCGAACACGATCCAGCCGAGAGAAGTCTGCTGCGCGACGGGATCTCGTAATCCTCCCTTTCGGACGCCAGCACCGAGGATGTTCGCGTAGACCTCGGCACCCAGCAGAATATCAATGTCCCCCGCCGCGGCAAATTCAGGGTCGGCTAATTCGAGGCCTTGGAGGTGCGGCCATTCCTTCACCGCGACACTCGTGACACCGGCGTAGAGGGTCAAGCGAGGAAGCACGATTGCGGGCACCACTAGATCGCTAACCCCGTCTCGGGGAGTAATCTGCAAGGATAGTTGCCCTCTCGCGACTCCTGTCTGCTGGCCGCCCACAACGAATACCGCAACCGACGTTCTTGTTCGCTTGAGCCGCAATCGTTGCGCGAGGGCCTCAGTCACGATGGAGATCTCTGATCCTTGATCTATTAGCGCCCGAGCGGAGTGCAGTTCACCGCCGCAGTCTCGTACCTTGACTCGCGCCGTGGCAAGGAGCACGGCTACTGGTTCTTCGACTGGTCGACGCGCAGCGTGGGATGTCCTCGGAGGATTCGCTGTCTCTAGGTTCGTTTCGATCGCAGGCGCGCGATAGGCATCGTGGATAGTTGTGTGATGACGCTCGTAACAGGCGGCACAACTGCGCCTCGATGGGCAGTCACTAGCCTTGTGCTTGCCTAAGCAATTGAGGCATAAGTTGCCTTCCTCCATGAAGCGCTTTTTCTCCACGGCGGTCTTCTTCCGAAATTCGTCACAGAGCAGCAAGTAGTGGTCTTGGTGGCACATCGGACAACGACCTCTTTCTCTTTTTGCGGAGTCCTGTTGGGCATAATGCGAGCGAGCGGATCGATTGCTCCGATCATTCGTCTTGGCGGAAGGTTCTTCCGCCCTTGCAGGTTGAAGTGCTTCCAGAGTATGAAGTCGGCGCTCCAAGAACTGTCGTAAGTCGGAATACGACGCTGGTTCGGAGGTGGCGCTCACTGAGTTCTCCCATTTGCGTCGTGATCGGGGGTCCAGTAATTCGATGGTGAGGTGCACGAATAGATCCTCACTGTTGTTCACTGGTCGGCCGATACTCTCCAGGGCTCCGACGGTACCGGTGACGCAGTAGAATACCTTGCGCAATTCAGCCGCGGACTCGCTTTTCATTTTTGGTAGGGCCGTGAATGCGGCATAGTATGACCGTACCAAAAGGCGAGTGTTCTCGTAATAGTTCACGAGGATTTGCCACGCGCGACGAAAGTTTTCGTCCGTGGTCGGGAGGTTTCGTACCAACATGTCGGCTTCTCCTCGTAAACTCGCCTTGAGATAGTGTAGTCGAGTGACATCTAAAATAAGAGGATCCTTCGTTATGAGGGAGACGAACAGATCTCGGAAGGCTGGCCAATCCTCGTAATTGCCGGAAAAGTTTGGCAGTTGAATACGTGGTAAGGTCGTGCGCGGGGGTGGAGTCACGTGGTCGACCGCGTGATCATTGGCAGCGCGCGCAGGTTCGGTCTTACTGGCAGCCAGCGTTTCTTGGAGCTCAAGCAGGGCCGTCTTCTGTGTAACGTAGATTTCTTCAATTTGACCTAGGCAGTCCGTTAGATAATACTCATGCTTCTTTAACTCTGCCCAATGGTCGGAGCGTAATTAATCATGTTGCTCCATCACCTTTTCCCACTTTTGATCAAGTAGCGCGAGCGTGGTGTCAATCAGCGGGCTCGTTATTTTGGCGGCCTCTGTCTTCTTTAGATTCTCTAGGGTTCGGCCGATCCGACCGAATAGCTCCTTTTGAGCAGCAATCATCGCCTCCATTTTCGGTATCACGATATCGAAGAATCCGGCTCGAAGGACCAAAATGTTTCTGACTGCAGGAGGGGTTATTAAGCTTCACAAATTTCACCGATAACAGCTTCTTTATTACACTAACTAAAAAGGGCGAATTATACACCACGGTGATACAATGGTTCACTCCCTTCCTCCTTGGCGTTCCGTAAGCCGCTCCCTTCGCTGAGGGGACCT